GCCCATCAGTCAGTTGCGAAGCAGGGGTGGCCAAGAATTCTGGGGAGTGGGTTTTAAAGATGGGGCCTAGCCCCAAGCTCACCCAAAGCTGCAGTGTCGTTGATTTTGTTGTTTAGCAGAACAAGAAACCCATTGTCAGGTAGAAGTGAGAAGTGTGATCCTGTGGTTAAACCACAAGAGAGAGAGGAGTCAGCTGCTGGTATTTTTCAATGGGATTTGGGTTCCTAAATCTGGGTTCTTCATCTGGCTGTTCCTCCTGGTTTCTTGTAGGACACTGAGCAAGTCACTTAACCTTCACGCCTCAGCTTCCTCTTCTGGCAGACGGGGAATAGTACTCACCATACTTCACACCCTGGGCGTGGTAAGGCTGAAATGTTTAACACAGAGATTGAGATCCCCAGCTGGAAGGTCCAAGCCAAGTACAAAGTATCATTCTAATGGGGGTTGGTCCACTGCCCTTCTAACAGCTGTACATTTCAGTTCTAGAAATATTCAGAACTCCTAAAGGCTGGGTTGGCAGCACACTCTCCCCAGTTGCACAAGTTACAAGAATTTGATGCACTTTATGAAAAGCAAACAAATGCTTCCCAGAATCATCGGGCTGTGTTAGTTCCAAAGGGGCCTGCCAATTCAAGGTTTTCAAACCTCAAACCACCAAGCTGGTGAATTTCCCTTATTAAAGAACCACCCAGCTGTTGAAATCCAAACTGCTCGCTACATGGACAAAGTGTTGCGTGACATATCAAAAATACACCCTTTCATTTGCACAGGGGTGATCTTTCCCTTTCATGCATTTCGGCTTTATTTGAAAGGCGGTGTCTGGACTATGGTTTTAAATTCATAAAATTCTGGCTCCAAACCACTATTTTGTTCCCTCCTTGGAAAGGAACCAAATGAAAATACTGGTGCTAGGATTTAAGATGCTTGATATCTAACTCTGGTCCTTTTGATTAGAAGTACATTTGATGCAATGACCGAGGAACGGAAATATCAGGAAATCACATTAGTATTGTTATGAATTTGTATTGCGGTAGTGCCCAGGCTCCCAGCCAAGGACTAGGACCCCACTGGCCTAGGTGCTGTATGAACGCAGACCAGAGAGCGGCTCCCTCCTGCTGCCCAGATAAGCTCACTGGAATAATATTGGCTGTTAAAAGGCTAACGTGGAAGATCAGGAAGTCTGGGGAAAACACTGGCAAAGAAAAGATCTGAACTGTAAACCCCTTGAAGGGTGGGAGAATTCTGAGCAGCAGGCACCTTGCTGGGTGTTGCCCAAAGACTGACCCAACTTCATCAATCTACGTGTTAATCAGGAGCCATAAGATCCCCTAGCACAAGCCCCATTATGGGGGAGACGGCTGGTTGACAAGACTGCTCAGATCAACAGAGGAAGTGAGAGATAGGAAGGTAATTCACACACTTCGTTCTGGACAGATAGAACAAATGAACATGCCCACATTTCCATCTCTCTTGGTACTCATGTGGCCCCCATTACAAGGGAAGGCATGGCTATTATCCCCATTGTACAGATGGGAAACTGAGGCGCAGAGACACAACAATAAAAGACCCGCATTACAGCTGGATCTGGCCTGGGTCAGATGACTGGGGTTTGGGGTTCTAAAATTGCAGTGTAGACATTTAGGCTAGAGCCCAGGCTCTAAGACCCCACACCAGGGAGGTGGGTCGCCAAGCCCAGATTCCAACCTGAGCCCGAATATCTACACTGCTATTTTTAGCCCTGCAACTCGAGCCCTGTAAGCCCAAGTCAGCTGACCCAGGCTCGGACTTGGTGGGTTTTTTATTGCAGGGCAGACAGACCTTAAGGGACTTTCCCTGAGTCTTCCTGGAAGTCTGTGGCAAAACCAGGAATTGAACGTGGGACTCCCAAATTCAAGACTAATACTTAAACCACTGGACCATCCTTTCTATTGAAGGCCGAACTGCTTTGAAATTGGCCCTGTTACCATGAGACAGAGCAGGCGGCGTGTGGCAGTGGAGGACCTGCAGGGGCATGGTCATGAAGAGGCATAGTTTAGGAACAGCAAAACGTTCCAACTTGGAAGTGTTTTATTCCTCCTTTATGTACACGGACATCTTCTGTTGACAGAACCATCACTCTGCAACACAACTGCACTGGTTTAAAGGACTGAATTTAAAAACTGGCCTAACAGGCATATTATTTATTTATTTATTTATTTGCAATAAATGTGGCCGTGAAAAATCACTGGAAGCTCAGTGCCTCTGGCATGACCTGCAACCTCCACGCCTATTGCAGTGGAAGATGCACACTCCATTCATCCATGGTTCCCCTGAAAACCATTAAAGTATTGAATTAGTGGCAGATCCTCAGTTGGTGTAAACTGGTATTGCTCCAATGGAGCAACACTATTTACATCAGTGAAGACACTGGAACAATACCTATTTAAATCAGCGGAAGGTTTGGCCCTGCTTGCCTAGTGGCAGGGGCGGCTCTAGGCACCACCAAAACAAGCTGGTGCTTGGGGTGGCACATTTTTAGGGAAGGCATTCTGGCGCGGGCCATGCCGCCCCTAAAAATGTGCCCCGGCCGCCCTAACTCACCTCTGCTGATGCCGCTCGCGCGCCGCTGCTCCCCCTCCCTCCCAGGTTTGAGAGCCTGGGAGGGAGGGGGAGACCCCGAGTGGCCGCGGCCCACGCGCTGCTTCTCCCTCTCCCTCCCTCCCTCCTAGGCTTGAGAGCCTGGGGGGAGGAGGCAGGGCTGGGGATTTGGGGAAGGGGCGGAGCTGAGGCGGGGCAAGAAAAAAAGGGGGGGGGCCGGCCAAAATTGTTTTTGCTTGTGGCGGCAAAAATCCTAGAGCCGGCCCTGCTAGTGGACATCAGATGATGCCCTAACACCTCTGGCCAAGTCTGCCCCCTTTGCAGGTCACAGCTTGCAACACAGAGGATTCGCCCCATCATTGAAACAAAGCTCAAACTGATACTTAATAGCAGAGTTGACAATGTAGGAGCAACCGCTACAAGCCCAACAGTCATCTCTTTCCTGGGCACTGTAGCATTGGGAATTAGACTCTACCATGATGAGAGCCATACAAACACGTATAGATTGAATCCATGGTATGGCAGCCCCAGCCTGTCAGTCTGCTATTTTCAGCCTAACTAATCATAGCGTCCACCATCGGACTCTTTTGGAGCTGGTACAATATTTCTGGTCAACCCTGCTAGAGGCTTCCAGCATCATAGGCTAAGCTCGCAGCCAGCCAACAAGAGAATGTAGGGGAAGAGGCACTGTCTAGAGAAAGGGCCGGTTCCACCTACTGATTAACCACACCCCTTGCGGGTTTTCCTGTAGAAGCAGCAGAGAAAGGTCAGATGCTCCATAATTAGGACATGGAACAAGATCCTCCTGTACGGAGTTAACATTTTCATTGTCTTCCTCAGGGCTGTGCGCTCAGCCTTAGAGAAGCCATCCAAATCCTGGTTTCTCTCCTCACCTCCAGCAGGCATTGCATAATGCTGTATCAATACGGACGGTGGAAGGGTTGAAGCTGCCACAGCAGGCTCCATCAAAGGCTGTGTCACTTCTACTAATGTAACACCTGCCAGAGGCATTGCTAACAGGACTGGCTCTGGGCAGGCGCCCTGTATTCCAGAGCCATGGATTTCACACTTGAAGGCAGAATTGGCTCTAGAATCTCAGGCTTGTTGACTGACCCACGAGATGGTGATTCAGGAGGAGGTAGAGACAAGGCTTGACAGCCTGAGTGCAGTGACACAGTCAGCCTGGCCTGAGCAGTTTTGGAAGGGAACAGAACAGCAGAGAACAACTCCCTGACAGCAGAGCTCCACCGGAGCCTGTGGCTCCGTGTAGAGACTCACCCTAAAATTTTAACTGCTCTGCAGTAGAGAATAGACAGAGTGGGAGGCTAATGAATTGTACTGAGGAGCTCCACAGTGGTCTGACAGCGTAACGTAAACTCGCTAGGCACCTCAGCAATGCCCTCATGTAGCATCACCAACTCTGAGCTTGGGGAGTTCTTTCCATGCACTCTCACCCATCGGTGGAATCTGCACATCACGACGGAACTCTTACGCCCAAGACAAAAGAAAGAGCAGCCTATCTTCCCTTCCATAAAAATTAGTGCATAGGAGAATACAGGTGTGTGATAGTCACATGGAACCCGTTTTACACTCAGTAGTATCCTTCCTTTCTGGACTTTATTTAAATGGTGAATCAGGCATTATTGCGTCAACTTGTGTGTTAGCAATAATTCCAACACAGAAGCATGTGTCATGTGTTGTAAAGAACAGAGCTTCTAATACTCTTTTTATACCTTCAGAATTCCCCCGTTTCCTCTCCACTCCCACAAAAGCCCCACATCACTGTAGCCTGCCATTGTGATGATGGAGGCTTGGATAGAGGCCTAAAGACAGTACACTTTTGTTCTATCTGGGCTAGGGAACGAGTCATTCTATTTCCCCTGGGGCTAAGAAAGTGGGCTCTGTAGTGGTCCCAACTCCAGAAGTTTCAGTCCTGCATGGAACAACTGTCACCGGACCCATCAGCTACTTATATATTAATGTCCATATTTATCATATCTAATGCTCTCAGATCTCATTATTAACTTTAACATTTATAGACATACCTGTGCTAACTCTGATCTAACTAGCTCAAACAACAATAGCAACAAAGCTGCGGCAGCAGAGGTGACAATACGGGCTAGCTGCTCCAATACATACGCAGGGCCATACAGCCTATGCTGCCGCGGCTTCACTGCTGCGATTATTCAGATTACGTAGATCAAAGGTAGCTTGGGTATGTTTATATATGCTGCAGTCACACTTCTGCTGTGTGGATGTTTACTGAAAAGTCTTCTCAGGGGCTCAGCCTGGAGGCAGTGTTATCACACTAATAAGAATTTACAACACGTTTTCCAAACAAGTGGATTTAAAAAAAAACACATTTCCAAAAAGCTAATTCAACTACTATTTCAAACATGAACTTCACAATCCAAACACTCCACTTCATAAAAAAATAGGTGATCATTTTTAATGATTTTTATATAAAAAGAAAAATAATTTTATGATACAATTTGATATTCTACTTTGTACAAATTTTTGCTCACACACAGTATATTTGTTCACAAACAGTCCTAGTCGGATTTACAGATTTATGCAAGGCTTACATACGACCCTGAAGATCAACAGAACTTCTGATGGTGTATCCTGTTGAGAGTGTATAATTAAGACTAACTTCCAAGTGCCCATCAACACAGGTGGCTTAGTTCTAGCATAAACAAAGATTTGTATCTAATCTTTTAGCTTAACATTTTTGACCGATTACAAAGAAAGCCCTTAACTCCAATGTATCAGAGGTCTTGGTAGTTTTTTCATAGAGCCTTTTCAGGGAAAGCAACATGGCATCCTACTCAAAGGGATTATTTTGCTTATACACATTTGAAGTGATATTTGTAATATTCCTTAAAGAATGAATATTCTGCTCAGAAAACTGAACTGTGCTAAGACATCACCCCAAAACTCTCATTAGTGAGGAACCTATCTAGAAAAAACGAGTAAAGAATCAAGCATTTAAAGCCAGCAAGTGCATGCTCACATGGTATAAACCTTGTTCTACAGACAATTTAGATTGATCAGTTCAGTTACAGTCTAGTCTAGAGCTAACTGAAATGCTGTACTGAACCAGTTTTAAGTCCCGAATGCTTCTTTAAAATTCCTATCAACAGTGACATACCAAGGTTGAAAATGGAGATTCATCCATTCCTCTCTCCTATAAAGAGCATCTAAAATATCACATTTTGTAGCGTTTGAGAAACATGTCTGAAAAGGTCAAGATGCCACAAAGTGCAGATTTGCTAACAGACTAATGTTTTCTAGTTTACACGCAATAAAAAAATGGAACAGAAAAGGTACTTGTACATTATAAAACCTTGAAAGAATAGCCTAAACTTTGGAGGAAGCTAGAGTTCTCTGCATTTCACATTAAGTTTGGCTCAATGTACTTGTGCTAGAGGTCTGATCAGGCCTAATTTTTAGGCCCAAAGCAGAACACATGAGGGTCGATTTGTTTTCCAACCTGACCCCACTCCACCCCTTCCCCATCAGCTGCATGCCCTGCTCTCGCCATCTGCTGCTTCTGCTGCAGTATAGCGAGAGGTCCTGCCACTCCTTAGCAGGCACACTCACTCTGGACTGCATTAAGGTGGTGGCATGTAGCCAACACCGCACCCAGGAGCGGCGGAGGAGAGCAGACCTGACCCCAGGAGGGTCCGGTTGTTTTCCCGCCTGACCTGGACCTGACACTTGAAGTTGGGTCCCGACCGGGTTGCAGGGCTCTAATTTGTGCTACATTTGAATATGCTTTTCAAATTCATGAACATGCAATGCTGGGCCCTTACACACAGTATGCTGGAGAGGTCAGCAGGAAAACACATCGGCAGTTAACTAAAATCATTGGAATTATTAATGTACAAAAAACGTACATGAACATGCATTTGGGAGGAAATGGGTACTTTAATGAATCCTTTCCAAATGAATGTATGCAATAAAAATGGAATTAACACCTGTGCATATAAAATACTTTAGATCCCTTCCATGGTGATACTTGTACTAAATTTTATAGGCCCCCTAATAAAATTTCTTGAGAGCTATGGAAATATGACATCACCCCTGTGACGATATAAGGAGCCATATGATAAACAATGTTTTATTTCAGGAGCTGTAAGATTTCTTTTCAGGACTTGTAAATCATTGAAGGTATTGCAGACCATTCTGATCTGTAGGGATTTCAGAACTTCCTGCAAAAAAGTTACTAAATACCATTTTTCATGACATCATGGTAGCCCGTTTTGGCCCAAAAGTAACCAAAATGGGTACACAGTAGGAAAAAAGGGGCAAGCTTGACCAGCAGATAGCTATAAAAAGGGGTCAGGGAGGGCAAGTGGGTTATAAATAGCAAATAACTGTATCATAGCAGCCTATGTCTAAAGACACTTAAAAGAGATACTTTAAAAGCTCTAGAAGATATCTGAATTCATGTAATTTGACATGGATAATACCAATCTCACAAGTAAATTGAATGTAATGTGTATAAACCAATATTAAATTTTATAGGCCATTGTTCTTAGGTGCTTTATTTGTACAGTTCCTCTTCATTCTTTTCCCTTTTCTGTCTTTATTTGGTAAGAATATAAAGTCATCCTTTTCACCTTCTCGTAGATAAGTTAATGTTGAGAACCATCTTCCGGATTTTTTCTTCCTTCTTTAAAACATTAGCCTTTACAGTACAAATCTTGTCTTGCTGGTCTTTAATCAACTGTTCCAACTCAGCCAGATCTGCTTTTAAGGGCTCCACAGCGCTGTCTGTGATGCTGAAAGAGACAAGCAGTACGCTACATTTTAGGGGAATATTACACTGTTTTGCACTTTTTATGCCTCTGAGACAGTACATGAAATACTTGGAATTTGCAAAGAATTTTTAAATCAAACCCACCCTTCCTGAAACAGACAGAATTAGGGAGACAGCTGAAGGGAAAATGAACACAGAAGTAGATTGTCGAAGAGTTACCCTCAGGGACGGCTCCAGGCACCAGCGCAGCAATCAGGTGCTTGGGGCGGCCGAGGGAAAGGGGCGGCACGTCCGGCTCTTCGGTGGCGGGTCCCTCAGTTTCTCTCGGAAGGAAGGACCTGCCGCCAAATTGCCACTGAAGAATGAAGCGGCAGCTGTAGAGCTGCCGAAGTGCCACTGATCACGGCTCCCCGCCCCCCCCCCCCCCCCC